TATTTCTTAACTCACATGGACCAACAAGTTTCTACTGACTTAATAATAATAATAATGTTTTACACAGTGCGTAACTGCAAAACAATATAATAATAATTCGCATCTGTAACCATCAAACATATCTACTATCTATGAATGTCAAGTTATAGACTTGCTTAATAGTTTGATAAATATAATAAACATATGTATATACCTAACATCTCCCCTTTTTTCAGATAATATGAGTACAAAAATAATAAAAAAAATTGCATTTTAAACAAATTAGATAATTAACTAATACTTTATAATATAAAAGTGTACAAAATTAAGAGAAACAAATAAAACAATTCAAATGTGCTAATAAATTCTAACAATTGGTAAAAAATAACAAATTTAATTTGGTTCATATTAAATAGGACATACTATTATGATCACTTTACTTCTTCTTATTGAATAACACTCACAAGTTTCAATTATTAAATATTTTATTTTTTAACTTACATGGACCCACATGGCCTGTACTTAATAATAATCATAATATTTTACACAGTGCGTAACCAGTGTTGAGACTTATCTAGATAATTATTTAGTTATCTTTTATCTAATCTAGATAAATAGTTGCATTTTATCTATATAATTATCTAAGATAAAAAAATCATCCATCTAGATAAATTGGTCTCTATACAAAAAACTGAAATACAATTTCTATTGTCAATTTATTGTTTTGATAATTAATACTTTAAATTTGAATTGTCTTCAAATTTGAAATTATGGTAATTGTGGATGTTTGAGCGGGATTAAGTTCTATGATTTATAACACTAAGATATAATAATAATATGTAACGTAATTCCATTTGTAATCGTTTAATGAGTAATGTTATAATATTATTATGATGACGTGTTATGTCCACTTGCAAGTTAATATGGTATCAATAAGATATTGTGCTCTTTTCCACACCCTCAAGTATCTTATTATTGAGTTTTTAAATTTTACCGTTTAAGTGTACTTATTTATAAGAGTGGGCATTAACAAGTTAATAAGTTAAAAGTAAACTTAATTTTAACTTTAACTTAACTAGTTACTTTTGGGTTACCGTTAACTTAATTACTACCTAACTTAACTTAATAATTTTTTAACTTAAATGAATTCAACAAATGAAATATAAATGTCGAGGAGTTAATTTAATTTATTTTGCTTTCAATTTTATTTTATACTATTACATTTCAATCGACTTTTTCTTGTCCAAAACAAATTTCAGGCAATGTTTAGTTACGTCAATTGTTTAGTTAATTAATTATTAACTTATCGGAAACAACATTAATAATAAATAACATTCATTAATACCCAAGATTGTGTTAACAACAGACTGCTTTTATTGTTTTCGAAAACTGTCATTGGTCGAAAATGTTATACCTACGTTTATCTACAGTGGAAAATACTGGAAACCGTGTTTGATAGTGTATAATTTATTGGAAATCATAATTTATACTATACATAGATTTAGTATAATATACTTGATTATTGCCAAGTAAAATTGTTTTGTAAATACTGCATACAAGGGTGTGTGTGTTAATCTTAGAGAAATCAAAATGTTTAAAATTACCGATTGAGGTTTATAGATTGTAAAAATTGAATTCAACGTTCAGGTAGGGCTGCTTTAAGTATAAAAAGAAAAGAACACCTTAAAATACACACATAGCCAAAAAAAAAAAACACTTAACTGCCGGACCATAATATTATGTTCAATGTTGTTAAAAATACTATTCAAAAGTTTTTCAAATAAGTATTTAAATACTTTTTTTAATAAATATTTAAATACAAATACAAATATATTCAAAAAGTATTTCAAATATTTTTAAATACATTTTTTAAGCTATTATTCTCTGATTCTTAATTCTTAAAACTAATTATTTATTTAATTGAATTTCAGTGTTGACTTTTCTTTTAACATCTATTGAAACAGTAGCAGCAGGAGCTAGTAATTCTCTAACAGACTTGACATTACTATGTTCATCCTATGCATTTTAGAAGATTTAGGTAAAAATAATAAATATAGATGGTACTAGGTAATTTTTCATCTGATCTTTACTTTTAATTTTTTATACAATTTGACGGAATTTGTACAATTTATAGTATCTAAGGACTAAAAAGGCACACAAGACAATCGTTACAATTACCTAGTAATAAAAAATATGAATTTAGAATCATATCTTCGTTTGTCGATAACAACATTTATAATCGTCATGATTTTCATCGACGATAGCAATTCCTTCATAATCGACAAACCAAACGAAATAGTAAATATCTTACTTGAAAATGTTGTATTTAATATTTTTAAGTACAGAATATAATAATATGTATTTGAAATATACTTGAAATAATTCGGTCTAAAAGTATTTAAAATGTATTTAAAATACAGAAAAAGTATTTAAATATTTAACAAGTATGAATATATTATTACAGCAACCAGCACGATTTATGAAATAAGTTTCTTGAGAAGGACTAGAAAATTTGTAGCAAAATAATGAAGTTTGAAAATACAATAATCTAATTGGACATTTTACGTAGAAGTGCAGATGTAGTTTTCAAATAATATTGAAGAATATCAACAGAGTTATAGTCAATTTAACTAGAAACTATTGTACTGTATTTTCAACAATTTATTAGATAATGTTCCCCGAGGCCTGCATTACAATTCACTATCCGAGACCAATAAACAACAACAAAAAAAAAACATCATTGTAAATCCAATATGTTCCCGAAATAATAAGGTATCAAATACAAATTAGTGTTATACCAACAAAAACATTCATCCATACTATGTGTAAAAATAAAAGCTAAGTATAAAAAAAAGGGCTCTAAAAGTTGTGATATCATTTTAAAGGTAGATAAGTCTTTGAAAAATAGATATCATTTATGTTAAAATTATCATCTAAAAAATTGAACTTAGTTTGAATTTACTATACATTTTTTAGCAAATAATTTAAACATAAATGATATATATTGTTCAAAGACTTAACTACCTTTAAAATGATATCACAACTTTTAGTGTAGTTTTTTTTTTTTTACACGGTGTTTTTGTTGGGATAAGTTATAACATTAATAATATTATGTAGGTATAAATAAACATTGTATTAGATTGGTAACAATTGTATTGTTGGTTGTTTTTGTGACGAAAAACTTTTTTAAATTACTAGGTTTATAGAAAACCAGAAATACTGTATAAATACTACTTTTTTGATTTGTAAAAAATTAAGTAGGCTAATCATAATTACAAAAAACAAAAAATTAAGTTTCATAGTAATAAGTTCAAACAAATTGTGTATTAATATTTTTTATCTTAACTAAGTTAACCAACAATTCAATTCAATTTCAACTTTTGAGTTTTTCTTTTTAACAAATATTAACTCAAATTAAGTGAGTTAAAAAAAAATTATGAATTACTAATTTATATGTACCTGTTTAATTGTTCATGAATATTGATTTAATCTTAACTGTTATGTAAGGTTGATTTAATTTTTAATATTGGAGAATACAACATAAATTTAATTTAATCTTTTCGGTTGGGGACCAATTGAAATTCAGGACTACCTTAAGTATTTTAGAAATATGCTTTGCATACCAGTACTTTTGAGACTACCAAGTAACCAATCAAGAACTGATTGAAACTCAAAAGTGTCATAACAATTGGACACTATAGCCACATACTTATGTACACTAATTGTATGGGTATTATAGCACTATTGCATAACCCATTAGGGATCAATTCAAATTCAAGAATCCTATAGTATTGAGAATATGATTTGGGTATCAGTGGTACTTTCATCACTATCACGAAAACAAAGACTGATTGAAATTTGAAAGTATCCAGATATTTATATTATTCTTATTATAGTAGATACTGAGTTAATTCTGTTTGATATACCTTCATATTCTTTAATAGGTAATTATTGTAAGTTATATATTAATGCCAGATATTTTAAGTATTAAACATCAACTTATTGTGCGTGTACTATAATAATTATTTTACTGAAATATATTCTAATTAACCTAGTTAATTATAATCTAAATAATAGTACTATATAATACTATAAGATAAATATCAAAAATGTAATTTCAATTATATCATGCTAGTAAATACTTTAACTGTAAGGTTTGAAAATGTGTGGATAGAACAAGTTTGATAGTGGAATAAGGAACAATTGCGTTTTGTGGGTTATACAAAATAGTTTTAACTTTTACATTTGAACGATGTCAAATACTCGTTGAAATGAAAAAAGAGATGTTTGCGTGGACGATGTGTGCTGATGTTAAGACAGTAAAAACCTGACCAACGACTGTTGTTTTCGCCGACTCTTATAATAAAACATTGTTGTAGAAATGGTTAGTGTACTCTCTGCTTTTTATGTGTATCGGTCGTCTGAAACGTTTAGTCCATACGTATCGTCTGTATATAATATGTGTGTGTATTTTAAAACGTAGTTCGGGAGTTTAGAATGTTTGTAGAGATTCTTAAAACGTCAGTGCGTCATGATGGAACGTTGGATCGTATATGCGAGTGGAATGTGTATGATATTGTATTATTGTGTGTCCAGTATATGGTCAAAATATTGGAGTTAACTAAATCGTATTATGACGGTCGATTCCATAAAAATTGAATCATGACTTGGACTTTTTTTTTTAAATTTTGGTCTTGTGAAATATATAGTACTTTATAAAAAGTTAATTGAAAATAAACTACTGAAACGCGTGTTAAGAAATGATAAGGTATTATAATATTGTCAATGTTTAACGATAAGCGCCATTAACATAATGTTTTCCAAAACTCGTTATAATTTACTGATGGGTATAGTTTAATCCACGGTGTTCATAATAATATCAACTTATACTGTAATAGGCCATTATAACTATTACACTGTTGTTTTTCGTTTGTCGCAGGTGGTCGTCGGGGACGTCTACAGTTGTGGTGACGGCCGATACGAGTGCCGGTGGTGGAGGAGGCGGACGCAGCAAAGCTCCAATGAACTTCTTGCGCTTGAGGTCTGTCCAGCGGACGGACGCTGGAAATTACACGTGCACGGCCAGGAACACGGTGGGATCTAAGAGTCTACAGCATCAGGTGATCGTAACACCAGACATGAGTGCCCACGTGGTACCGGCCTTAGCGGATATCGAGTCGGGCCGGTCCGTGTCGTTCACGTGCATCACATCAGCAGCCGACGATAACGTGAGTTTTTTTAAAAAAATCTTAATGACCGGTTTGTGTCGGTGTTTCATAATGCATTATTGCCTCTCTGCCGTAGCCTTATTCTTTTGGGTCCTTGTATTTTCCTCTGTGCATAACCTTCATGAATTGTGTCGTGTATTCCACCCATCTAACAATACCCATTGCCTGGTAATTGTAAAAGAGGACTAATTGTAAATTAGGTGACCGTACGAAAACAATTCGTTAATTGACTTTATTTAAAAAATAACGTATTACATAACATGAATTGGGTGTGAGGAAGACGGTGCTTGCACGGTTTGAGATCAACGACAGACAGGTCTGTACGTAGACGATGCCTCCACTCACGATCCAGCATGGCCCCTATGTGTTGGAGTTCCCCGAATAACGGCCGGCCAAGTGAAAATCAAGTCGAGGTGATAACCGTATGATGGTAATTCCTATTCAAATATTTTGGAATATTGTTACAATTTAATATTTGTCCTATTATCTTATCCTTTTTGTACTAACCAGTAACTCTTCGTTAGTACAATATGTTACCCTTTAGTCTTTACTATAATAGCGACAATCGAGTTCTACTAATAATGCACATTGCCAAGAGAATGCTTTTAGTGGATGAAATCACTTACAATAAAAAGAGCATGCAATATGAGTCATGGCAAATGATTTTCAAAATTACAAAAACAATACAATCAATAAACTATATATTCGTATTTCGACAATAAATTTCAAAATAGAATTGGTTGGCTAAACGTTTTTCTTTTATTTTTGGTCCTCACGTGATAATACGTTTATAATATTATATAAAAACGTCGTAGAATATCCTATCTATGTTTCCAAAACATACTTTAGTGATTTTTTCATTATAATTATTCGTTTTTTTGAGCTTAAAATTAGGGACTGGAAGCTTTTAAATTTATCAGTATCATTTCTGGTACGGGTTTTCAAAAATAAAATAACTGTTCCTAACCGGTTCTGGTTTTTTTATAAAAAAAAATAAAGGTACCGGTTAACAAATAATTTAGGTACCGAAAAGTATGATAATTTTAAATACCTATCCGGAATTTGGGCTTAATTAATTGTTTAAGAAATATTAGAAAACTCATATGATCATACACAGTTTATACACAAAACAGTAATACCATTAAATTATGATAAATAAAATTATTTTGTTTTTGAACCTAAAGAACCTAATAATTTAAAAATTCCGGTTCTTTATTTATTAAAATAAAGGTTTTGCTTTCGGTTCCGCGTCTTAATATTTTGAAGTTCCAGTCCCCGCTTTAAGTAAACGGATTACTTTATATTACAAACAATTTGAAAATTATCTAAATAGCTAAATCTGATTTTTATTATTAATAAATATCAATAATGAATTTTTAACCAAAGTGTAACAGATATTGATTAATGATGAGTGGATGAATTTTATGAAATGTTATGAATGTTGTGTCAATTGTCAGTGTTAAACAAAAACATATATTATATATTATATATTACATTTGCATAGATTATATGATAGAAATAACTCTGTGTTTATTTTATGTTATTTGTCATTAAAACTCATAAAATAAAACAATCACTTTTTACAAATATTTGAATAAAACGTGCAGTGTAAGTAGTAGTTACAAAAGGGTTAATTTACAAAGGTACGCGATGATGGCGCTTAGTTAAATACTGATCTATTCTTCCCACACAAATCTAGGTGCTGTTATTATTTTATAACCAACATATTTTTGTTTATATGACTTATGAATAATTTTATATCTACTCGACAAATAACGCACATAATATTATGCAACAGGTCTTAATATTATATTTTCGGCGGTGCTTGTCGAAAATTGCATATATGATCGACACAACTTTAATGTGAACGAACGGCTTTCATCTTTTCATCTTTTCATAACATCCCTAGATCATTTTGATGTCAGACATTTGTATTTTTATGTTAATTCTATACCATACGTCATTATGTTAGTCTAATTGGAATTACATGAGTAACTGAATTTTAAATTACAGACAAGAATATTATAGAATTTTATTTAATCTATAGTTTTTATTATGCACTATTATTAGTATACCAATTGCATACATTTGCATAAACAATGTCACTGTATGAATGGTAACTGATCAACTCAAAGAGTTACACACAAATTTAAGTGAGCGGGCTGATAAGATATCACCTCACCACAAACATAATGTTGTTAATATCACACTTTTATTTGTAGACCATTTGTATGATCAGTTTCAAACTCTCAATTTAAAAACTACCTATGTTTGCCATTTGGATGTTATCCAACCCATCCTCCCATTTTCAACACTTTAATTTGGCACACCACGTATGCAAAGGTTTGGTATATATCATGAATCATGATATCGTGTGTAATACATTTTTACATTTTACAACTAATTTTAACTTATTTGCAACACTGATCAACAAATTGCATCTTAGTTTTCATGATAATCGAATTTAAAACTAAATTGCTTGTGTTGGCTCTAAAGTAACATCAGTATGAATTTGTACGCCCTTCGTAGATATTTTACGATTCAAATTCTTCTAAAATATGTATTTTACATTGAATTGATGCTCCTCATATCATCGATCATAATAATTTTTGGTTTTTTTTTTTTTTGCAAAAGCCTTGTTTATTTTATATAAAACTACGAAAAATAATTGTCACTATCACAAATAACTACTTTTGGTAAGACGTCACTCATCTAGCCTACATCGTACGCAAATACAAATGTTGAATTTATACCTTAAGTAATTTGTATGAGGATAATATTTTTATTATGGTATAGAAATAAGTTTAAAAAAAGGTGGACAAGTGGTTACCGTTCTTCTGTACAGTAAAGTCGTTGTAGTAGATGGGTTGTATTTAAATGTATATGCAAAACGATTCTGATAGAAGACAATGTATCTAACTAGTGGTTATATTTTTATCAATATAATTAATATAACTGTCGGATTTTTTTTTAAATATTAATTTGTACAGTATCTCTGTATAGTAGAAATTCCAAATTGTAAATATTTTAATCACGAAGATAAATTAATAATTTATTCAGCAATATTATTAAGTAGTTTATCGAGTGCGGTTCAACTTTGTGTCTGGAACTGAAAACTTGTTATATTAACATTTAATATACACCCCACCTACTATAATACACGTGTATCAAATGGTTTGTACTATGAGATACGTGAGCTAAATAGTCATACTATTTAATAATTATTGTCTGATGTATTATAAAAGGTACAATGGATAAATATTTCTTGTGTGGAATACATGTAAAACAAATTCGTGCTGCTGAACTGTCGTAATCAACTGAAATATCTATAGAAGCTAAACAAAAAAAAAACAACTATACCAATGTGTTTTTTACTTTACAATATGAAATACAGCCCTTAACGATATAAATGATTATATATTACAACAATTACAATTTTAAAATATATTATAAACCCAAGTGGTAATTAACGGGTTATTCAATATTTACAGCTACAGAAAGAGCAAAATATTATTTCAAAGTTTCAGAAAGAAAAAAAAAACACTAGATAATAATGTTTGTGGCAACAAACGAAATAATTAATAAGGTAAAATATATTTTCCAAGGACGACAGAAGTTGATTTTAGTTATGTTAATCGTCTTAGTGGTATAAAATATAGAGTGGACGTTTAAAATTAATGTTGTAGTAAGTTATGATGAAGCAACAATCAGGTGTATATTAATGCTATAATTGAAAGAAAAAAATATTAATTTACTGTTTTTCGTACCGATTCATTAAAAAGAGATTTTCATTAACCACAAAAGGCTGAGGTTCAAAAGTTATGCACCAGAAAACTACCTTCCGATTATTCAAATAAACTTTTATGGAGAAGCGTTCGAGAAGAAAACAATTTATTTTTACGTAAAACTTTTACGTTTTACTTTTACAGCGAACTTTATGATCTCTGGTCCGAAATACTTTCTGAAAACCAAACAAAAGAAAAAAAAAAGTTAAAACCATCAACTCTCTATAAAAGATACATTTTTTAGTTTCAAGTGACTTATAAGCAGTAACAAGCCTATGCGATATTATTTTCAATTTATACACATCGTCTAAATAGTTTTCTTTATTTAAATTGAACTTGAATGTTACGAAAAAAAATACTATGTACAAAGGATTTAGCAATGTTTTCCTAACAGTTTCCCGGACAAGGTATGAACATACAATTAATGGATGTATCATAATATAATATATATAAAAAGTTATATTTTATAAAACTATCCTCAGGAAGGTATGCTTTTTCTGAGAATGAAATTTATTTTCAAATACTAAAGTAGGTATATAAATTTTAATGGTATAAAAAAAATATTTTAATTAAACAAGTTACTACGTAATAATACATAAAAAAATTGTTATATTAAAAATCTATAGAATAATATGATAATACATTTGAAGTAGGTACACAAGATATTTTGAATACTAAACGTTATAAAATATTTTCTATAATTTAGATATAATTATACATAATATTATAAAAGTTCAGATTCGATCATTCTCGTAATGAATTGCTATCATTAGTTTTAAGTTTGTAAATTTAATGGTTCATATTAATATACTACGAAGCGTAATTTGACTTGATAAATTATTTTTAAATTGTAATGTTGATGTATCCGTTATTAATTTGACAATTTTTAAGCACTGTAAACTATCGTGGCCACTTTAAAAAAAAAAAAAAATGATTTTTTTAATACATGGCATTACCCGACATGAATGAATCATTATAATATTCATTTTACCATTGAGTTGATATTTTACAATATAGTATTATACTTAATCATTATACATAACAAATATTAATCATTCACAAACCGCAGTGTTACAAAATTTAAGTCACATTGGAAAAATTATAAATTTATATGTTTTTATATTGTTTTACTGGTTGGCTACCGTAACTATAAATGATTTTTTATGCCAATTTTTTTTTCTTAACGAAGAACGTAATGGTTTTTTTCAAATAAAAATTAAAAAGTTTTATAATATTTTACCACTCGTTATGATATTATACTTCAGTAGATACATAAATTGATAGTGTTAACATCTGAAGGGAAAATAACATCGAAAATCAGGACGTTGGAGTATAGTAATGTTATAGTGTAGTACCAAGTAAAGTTATTGAATAGTGAGTGGGTCTGTTACCTAAGTTATTTTA